TGTGGCAGCCAACCAGAAAGATTGGGTACGTTTGCTAGACGTTGCCCAATTTTCCTATAACTTGATGCGGAGTGAGAGCACAAGCAAAAGTCCGTTTGAGATTGTCCTTGGTTTCCAACCGACTATGCCTAAGGACATTCTTGGGGGCTACAAGGGCAATAGCCCACCCGCATACAAGTTTGCCAAAGATTGGCAAGAACGGGCTGACGAGGCAAAACTCTACTTGGAGAAGTCGGCCGCGCGCATGAAGAAATGGGCGGATAAGAAACGGACCCGTCGCGAGTTTGAAGAAGGCGGCCAAGTCTTGGTGAAGCTTTATGAGCATGGACGGAGCCGTGGTCTACACAAGGGTCTCATGTGCAGATACAAGGGTCCTTTCACCGTTCTTAAGAAAGTGGGTTCGGTTGCTTACAAGCTGGAACTACCCAAGGCCTTTTCAAGGCTTCATCCAGTCTTTCATGTGAGCCTACTTAAGCCATACCGCAAGGACCCAGAGGACGAAGAACCGAACGTTTCCTCAAGGGCACCAGCTGGCGTACACGAGTACGAGGAACGGACCGTAGAGGACATCCTTTCTAAGAGGATCGTTCGAGGCAAGAGCGGGGCAGCGACTAAAGAATACTTGGTGAAATGGAAGAATTTGCCAATGAGTGAGACGAGTTGGGAGCCAATCGAGAAGCTTTGGCAATTCACCAAATTGACCGAGGACTTTGAGGAGAATCGTGCACCCGTTCCTATCAACATTGCCTTCGAGACTTAGGTGCATTGGGGCGATGCACCGTTTTGGTGGGGGAGGATGTCACGGACAGTTTTTCTTCCCCATGAATTCGGGTGGTTTGCTGCGAAACAGGCTATTTTCGTAGACGGACATGGGACAGAACGGTCTAGAGCCTTGTGGACTCTCCGATCAAATCTTGAAGACTCTGGAATTCTCTAGAGAGGCCCGGAACTCTCTAGAAACGGGTAGAACCGTGTGGAAGCTACCCGAGTTTGCTAGAACCGTGTGGAGGATTTTAGAGACTTGTAGATATTTTGGACTTAGAATATTTTATGGTAGGAATTCTCTAGAATTCCATTATTTTATTATGTACATAGAATTCTCTAGAACTCTTTGGGACTTGGGGTTTGCCTATAAATACCCCATGCCCCTTTCATTTGTAATCCATCCAAGCTTTGAGTGGAGTTCTCAAGCATTCCTTAAGCTCTCTTGTGCCTTCATCGTTCTTTCACTTTCAACCTTTCTTAAGTTTTTCTTTGCCTCCGTTCTTTAAAGCCTTGCCTAGCTTTGCACGCTTTGGGGGTCTTAAGGCTGAGCTAGCACTTGATCGTTAGTTGTTTTGTGCTAGTGCCGCACGGTCGTTACTTTGAAAAAGTAAACCCGTGACAGTTGGCCTTTCCTTATTGAATGGTGGCCGCAAGGGAACTTAAATATAGCTAGAAAGGTGGTTATAAAAATGCTTCCTATATTTATTATATGGGAGTTGTGGAAGGCCAAAAATAAGGAGTTCTTTGAAGGTACTTCGATTTCTCTTTCGATGATTGCTAATTTGGTTTTGGAAAAGGACGAATCCCGGTTCTGGTCCCCAAAATTTAGGGTAGTCCGGTCGAGTCACTATTAATTTTTCTTCACCAAAATTAGTCCCTATAAAGTTTATTCTCACCAATTTTCATCTTTTAATGGATTTCGGAGGAGTTTAATGGAAGTTGCCATCCCCTGTCAATAGCTCAATATTTTATTATTTTTCTAATGACTGTGGGACCCCCTGGTCTTTGACCCAAAAAAATATTTTTTTTTTCTTCAAAACCTAGAAATTAAAAAAACAAAAAGTAGTCCTTCCTCCTCATCCTATGCGGCCGGGATCGAGAAAGTAGACATTAAGAAGCAGCCGCTGTTGTGGCTTATTGTAATGGGGAAGAAAAGCCTCCCTGACCCGACCCGGTAGAGGGGACGACCTTACTGGGTTTTCTCAAATCGGTTATCACCAAACTTGATGATGTGAAGGTTTCGCAAAAAGGGGAAGAATATGACACCAAAATCAGAGGACACCTTGAGACTGAGTTGGCGATATCCAGCATCCACCTCGGTGGGAGTTTCAGCAGCGGCAATCGAAGCAGTTTCACCGACCCTCTAATTCTTCAATTGATGCACCACTGGGAGATCATCCATGAGCATCGATTCCTGCAATTGTTGTCCGAATTGGTGTCGTTGCCGCTGCTGATTTCGGCGGCACCTACCATTACCACCGAACTGTTCGAACTGAGATATGAATTTGGTGAAGAGAAGATAATAGTTATCTGATGAACCCCTTTGTCAATCGATTAAGAGCCTCCGTAGTAGCCAGAGCTTTGGGTATAATACATCCTATTGTTGTTACCACCACTTCTTGTGCTTCCTGTTGCAACACTCGTCTCCCAAACACAATATAATTGTTAAATTTGCCAGAATGAGAGATTCGAATTTCATGTTTGGGTAGTGGGAAGCTAGATCAGGTTGAAGGTGACATTTTTTTTTTATCTTTTATACCTTCCCCTTTTGTTTTTAATTCTTTCTTTTTTTTTCGGTATTCTGTTTTGTCTTTTAGCAGAATCGTAATTCTAACTCAGTTACATGGACAAGTTTTTTTTTTTGAACATCTTAATACCAAATGGGCTACTACTACTCTCCCAAGAGAAAAAAACTTGACGAAATCATAGCAAAGTTGTTTCACTTTGCTTCCCTAAGGTGCCCAAATCTTCAAATCCATCAGGTATAGTTTGATTTTTTATGTATTTCCCAGTCTATCAGAGTTTTCATTGCCCAACTTTGTTTTTATATAATTATGTTTCACAGGATGTATGACTTTTATGGGTTATTTTATATTTTCATGGGGGTGTCGGCCGCGTAGGAGGAGGAAGGACTATTTTTTTATTTCTAGTTTTTGAAAGAAAAAAAAATAATTTTTTTGGGGGGTCAAAGACAAGTGGGACCCACAGTCATTAAGAAAATAATAAAATATTAAGCTATTGACGGGAGAATTGCATCTTCTATTAAATTCTTCCAAAATCCTTTAAAAAGATGAAAATTGGTGAGAATAAACTTTATAGGAACTAATTTTGGTGAAGAAAAATTAATGGTGAGTCGGTCGGGCTACCCCCTAAACATTGGGGATCAAAACCGGGATTTGTCCTTTAGAAAATGTTGAAAATAATTTTTTTGTTTATAATATGCCTGTGAGAAATGCCATGGAAAGGAATTTTTTTAAACCGATTTTCCCGTGCTTTCATGTCAAAGTAAAAGCACGTGTTTTGACTTTAATTGTTTGGAAGCCTCCTAACCCTAATGCTTATACTTTGAATTGTGATGGTTCATCGATTAACGCAAGTTCTCATTCTTGATATGGATTTTTTCATTCAAGATGAGAAAGGGCAGTTGGTTTGTGGAGAATCTGGATATCTGGGAGAAGGCAATGGCCTAATGGTAGAGGTGAATCCTATATGAAATCCGAAAGTGTGAATTTCTTGAAATGGATCAAGTTGATATTCAGACTGACAATCAGGTGATAACTAATCTTTTGAGCAAAGTGGGTGTTTTTCCATGGAAAGATCTCTTAGAATTGCAGGACATATATTCTATAATGCTCAGAAGAAATTACTCTCTCGCGCGTTTTTAGAGAGGCTAATGTTGTGGCAAATAATCTTACACGGATAGCTTCACATGGTCAATCAGCAACCTATGAGAATTTTTGTAATCTTCCTTTTATCTCTAAAGGGCTTCTGATCCTTGATCAACAGTCCTAGCCTTATGTTAAGTTGCTCCAATTTCAAGGTACTAGTATTATTTGCCCCCTTGTACCTTGGTAAGTTTTAAGCACTGTCAACCATTTTGTTGTATATATATTGACCAGAGATTCTGTTGACTAGGAATAGAAGAGTCACAACATTCATCTTAGAGAAGTACCTTCTTTGTGTATTGCGCCTTTCTATTCATAGCTCATCGATTTCTCTTTCCTTTTGCTTTAAAAAAGATGAATAATCCCCGTACATCGTGCGGGTCTAACATCTAGTAACAGAAAATGACAAAATAGTCATAAAGTGGGCGTCATTAAGTATTAAATGAGTTACATTTAGTCGCTCACTTTTTTTAACTTTTTTAATTTTTAAAAGATCAGCCCAAAATTGTTTAAAAGGATTCAAGAATCCCATTTTGTCCAATGGTAGTTTAGGTATTGATGGTTTAAATTTATTTCAAGAATTAACACTTTTTTTTTATTTCAAGAATTAAAATTTTTAAGAGAAGTTGGACATGTAAAAGATGATACTCCAATTGAAATGCTAAATTATGTTAAAAAAACTAAATTATTTTTCAAATGCATATATTGAATACATGATAATGTTAACCATTCCAGTAATTGTTGCTTCCGCTGAAAGAAGTTTTTCTAAGTTAAAATTTATAAAAAAATTAATTTACAATAAATATTAAATGGATTGGCTATTTTGTTGATTGAAAAAGATTTGTTAAAAGAAATAGCGTATGAAATCTTATCAAAGAGTTTGTATCAAACAAAGTTAGAAAAGAAAAATTCACTTAAATTTTGTTTTTAGCTGTAATTTGTTCGCTAGATAAATGAAAGGAATTCATTTATTTTTTTAATACCACCTACAATAAGCTCTCGGAGTTATTATTGATGGTCCTAAGCACAGATAAATTTTATCTGTCTTACTTTGAAATAAAAATAACTTTGAGAGAAGCGAAATATATAAATATAAATATAGATACAGTATACAGATTTTATAAAACCACTTGAATTATCAACATGCCAGTCACGCATAGTTCATCAGGAATATTAAAAATTGAATATATATATATATATATATATATATATTTTTTTTTTTTTCTCCTTTCAAACGTAGTAGACCAAATATTTCCCTTTTACCGCCATAATGAAATTCTTCTACGTTTGGGCAGCCGTGAAAAATTTTTAAATCGGAGGCGGGAAATTAAAAACAGCAAAGGCGCGTACCAAAAACAAAAAACTCTTCACAACAAAAGATGGCGGCGGGCGGTGGTGGCGCTCTCTCTTACTTTCTCAATTTCTCCTAAAACAGTTCATCCCAATCGCGGAAAGACTGCAAGTCTGCAACCCAAGAAGAAAAAAATGGCGAACGCTTCACATCTCGAGAGTATGGGTAAAGAACTCAAGTGTCCCATCTGGTAATTGCTTAATTCATTTCCTTTCTTATTGATTCCTTACTCTAAAAAAATCGACGGGGTTCACCATTTTTTTTCCCCTTTTCTTTGTCCCCCTTATTACAGTTTGAGTCTATTGAATAAGGCTGTCTCTCTCACCTGCAATCATGTGTTTTGCTGGTAAGTTCACCCAATGATACCTTCTAAACAAATGCTTGTTGTTGTTTGTGTGGGTGCGTTTGAAAATTGATGTCGATTGTGAGTACCGAAATTCAATTGAATTTTTTTTTATCCTTTGGGATATTTGCAGTTGCTGTATTGAGGAATCTATGAAAGCATCGTCCTATTGTCCAGTGTGTAAAGTTCCTTTTCGTCGTAGAGGTATTCCCTTACGGACAGATCCCTTCTGATTCTGCCTTTTTCTTCTTCATATATTAGAATTGATGGTTGAATTGAGTCATTGTTCTTAATATTGATTTTATGGAGCTGAAGAGAAGCTATTAAATCTTTGTTCATGGGTTTGACTGTTTGAGTGTATATTAGTTTTATCGGATGAAATGGAGGGCTGGATGCTCTTTTTAGCGGTTTTGATGTAACGCAATTGTAAGCAAGCAGAGAGTCTCTAATTGAAAGAAACATTAGTTCATTCAGGCAGAATTTCAATCTCCCATAGTCCTAATGCAAACGGTACATTTAATAGAGGAAGGATTAGTTTACATTTGCATTGGAAAACATAAGCAAAAGGCTCACATAGATTGGAAGCTTGCTCCCTTTGTACCCTCTTTTTGTACCTTAAGGAAAAAGAGCAAATTTCCTCATGTTCTGTCCCCACAAATGATCAACCATTTCAAAATTCATAATGGCTTAAGCTTATCAGTTTAAGGGCTTATTGAATAGATTATTACTTTGCTTTGGAGTTACTATGTCAATCAGGCTTGCCCTGGCCTTGAGGCAAGACATTTAATGAATCAGTAAAATTGGTAGAGACGTCAGTCTTCAACTTAAGTCTGTACCTTTTAGAGTCAAACTAGGTTTGGACTTTACATATAAAAGTTTAGCTAGGCATGCTTAACCCTGAAGCTATGTTGTTGGAGGAAAACTTGTTTGAAGTGGATGCTTACAGTTCGGTTCCAATTCATACATATAATAACGTAAAAACTACTGTTGTTTTGTGAAGTGGATGCTTACAGTTCGGTTCCAATTCCCATATATAATGATGTAGAAACTACTGTTGCTTTGTGAAGTTATTGGTTGTTGACCTTTTGGCATTTTATTGCCTGAGTCAAAATATTGACGGAACAGCTCACTGGAGTTGTGCTACTCCATCCAAGCATCAACTTTGAGTTTATGTGTTGAAATGGAACAAGTAGATCTTGAGAGTATCTGAATGAGTAGGATTAAAGATGACTAAGTCATTCACAGTATACTTGAAATCTGATTGAAGCAGATGGTTTAGTTTCCCGTACTCTACTTTTGTTAAATTTGGAAATATTACTGTCCTCAGGTTTAGGCATCCATATCGTTGCCTTGTCAGGACCATCAGGTAGGGAACAATTAGTTGGCGTTGCTCTATCATTTGAAATTTAGAGACAAGTGTATATTGAAAGAAATGCATACGAATATGGAGGAATATTAGTACACATGCTTTGACGCTAATATTTGGCTTAAAGCAAAGCATACATTTGTGTGATGAAAAAACCACCAATTTGAATAAAGAGAGAGAAGATGGTAGTTACTTAACACACACGAGTTTTGTGAATCCTTGAAGTCAGTAGAACTATTTTCCAAAAAATAGCTCTGGCAAAAAATCATTTTTTTTGTGCTTCATTTGTGTGGCATGAGCACGAGAGTAAACCAAGTACTTAGTTTCTTTAAATGCCTCACAACCCAAGTTCAGAAAGACAATCTGCCTTTCTTTATGTCAGTTTTTATCTTCCAGACACATGTCAGGGTAATTTGTTTTGTCGAATGTATTTGAAGTCAGGGCTACCTTATATAAGTTGTCTTGTTGTAAACAAATCTTGTTTTGGTCTTATGTGTTAGTTGGAAATATATCACAGTTGTAATCTAGTTCCTATTAGATAGACTTTGTTACTTGACTTATGCCATCCTGTGTGCATGAATTTTATCCCAAGGGATGCCCTTTAAGAGTGTAATGCATGAAAAGCTTCGAGTGGGAGCACTTCTATGAACTTCATTTTCTTTTTCTTTTTGTTTTAAAGATGTTGATCACAGTGAACAGATGAAACTACTGTTCTTCATTACTCTCAATCATGCTTTCTTCATTAGTTTTCTTTGAGATTAACTTTACTAAGATTTGTCCATTTTACGGTCTCCGGAAACCAAGATAATGCAAAAGTTATATTTTGAATAGTATGGCATATTTAAGTACTAACTTCTCTTTGAGTTTGCTGATAAAGTATTTGTTTCCTTTGAAGAAATTCGACCTGCTCCTCATATGGATAACTTAGTCAACATTTACAAGAGTATGGAAGCTGCTTCAGGAGTTAACATATTTCTCACGCAAGTAGCTCCTCCAATGAGATCGTCAGGTAGTTTAATATCTTTTTTTTTTTTTCCTTAATTTTACAGTGACTTGAAGAATAACTCTACCAACTTCCGAACTGCATTTTTTCATATTTATTGTGCCAGTTTAGAGAACTTTCCTTTGATCTGGTGATGATTTTTGCCTGCGGATATATTGTGCAGTTGGCTTCAAATTTACGATAGAACACTTAGTATCTGTTTTTACTTGTAGCTTCTCTGCACTGGGTCAATTTCTCCAGTTCAAAGAGGATAGAACAAGAACTGTCCACACTGAAAATATGTGGCATGCTTAGTACAACCATTTAGTTCATGAAGTTTAACTTTTGAGCTTGGCATACTTAGTTTGTTTTATCGCTCCAAATCAGCTTGAACCGTTGTTTTCTTTGTTTATTATATTCTTTTTTCTGGTTACCTGGAATACTTCTTAAAATCATGCAAAAGAGCCAACTCAACGTTAGATTCCAATTTAATGGATAATATGTGATGTAGAACAGCAAGTAGAGCTTACTTCCCACTCTCTTAAAAGTGACATACTTTTATTCTGAGCAAACTAAACATCACCATCAGTTTTTAGCTTGATCCCTATAGCCGATTTACCATGTTTCAAACAACAGTATATCAATGGTTGAATCTGCTGGTGAACAAGAAACTATCATTTTGTCGTGCCCTGGACTAATTAGTAGCTTCGTCTTCTTAAAAATATACCACAACTTGGTGTCATATTTAAAAATATGATAATGTTGCACTTATCATATTTAATACCTCTTTTGGTGGAGCCATTTTATGCTAGTATAATGATTGTACTAGCTTCGAAGATTAGCTAAACATCTTTATCTGACTGTATAGATATTGAGAACCATCCTGATGGTGGTAGAAGTTGTGAATTGCAAGACAACAGACAAACTAGCACTGGTTTATCAGCTTCAGAAAGGAAGAAGAGAAATGCAGCAAGGGCATTAAAAGAATCTGACTCGATCCCTGTAAAGCCTTCCTTTCCTGCTAAAAAAAGGGTCCACGTCCCACATGACACGCCTTCAGATTCGAGGTTTGCTAAGTTAATAGATGAACCTCGTACAAGTACTGGAGGCAGACGAGTTGATAAGCCTGTTCTCGAACAAATGGAAGAACCTCTGTTTGCTCCTTTTTTCTGGCTGAAAGATGATAACTCCCCTAAAACTACTCAACAATCGTCTGGGGACCAAATCTTTGAAACACCCCCTGATGTTCCCTGCTTCAGTGACATCAAGGACTCTGATGACGAGTTTCCCTGTGATTTGTCACCAGAAGTAAGTAATATAGAAATTCCAAATTAATTAGTGTTTGGTATGAGGAGCATTTGAGAATTGCTCTGATCCTTACTATTCCTCTTTTGATTGATCTTGCATTAACTAATAGAGATGCTTTAGCTGTACACTGTAAATTGTGTAAATTGGATATGTATCATGGCTCGTGCCTGAGTTTCAATTCTCCTTGTAGATAAAACATCTATAATTAGTCTAATTATATTGGTACATGAATGCTTTCAAGAGATTAAAAAGGCTTACAGGACTCTAGATTTCTTGATTTGTTGGTTTCTTCAATCAACTGTTCAATATCATGACATGCCTGATATGATTTAGTGTAAGATCTTCAAGCAGAAGTATGAAAAATGTATGCTAATATAGCTTTCTATTGCTTACAGGTAGGGAAATGCTACCCAGATGGCGAAAAAGACATGTTTGATAGTGAAATGTTTGAATGGACACAAAGACCTTGTTCTCCGGAACTTTGTTCAAGTCCAGAGCAAAGAGAGGTACTAGTTAGCTTTGTTTAGATTGTCAGGAATCCTGGATTATATATCTGTATATATTGATCATTCTAATGTTATGCACATTGCTTTCAGTCAAACTACCTCTTCACTAAATATTAGTTTATTTTCTGCAGTCTGAAGATGATACTGAGTGTCTAAAACAAGTTGAGGATGGGTCTGTTTCACGCACTGAAAGTATAATCTTGGAAAGTGGGCCCGCTAAAGGATCCATAATGAACAATGCAGCTGACAAAAAAGATCCCAATTTTCCCATTCCATGTTTTCCAAAGAATAAAACTGATAATAAAAAAGCTGGGGTGTCTGGAAAGAGAAGTAACAAGGCTGTAGTAAGAAAACAAAGAAAACGTGCGTGGAAGATTTCAGCTGATGCATCAGAAGTTCCCAACGAGTTGGAAAATTTGGGTGAAGAAATACTGGAAAAGTCTGGCAATGGTGAGGAGTCAAGTGTATTAAAGAAAGGGTCTAAAAGTGAGGAAAATATTCTGACTGATACTTATCTTATGAGGACCAAAGGAAATCTGTCCAGTTCATGTGATGGGGAAAATATTTCGGCTCAAGATAAAAGCAGAATAGTTATTGATTTGCCAGTTCAGAAGAAATGTAGAAAGAGAAGTACTTCTAAGAATATTGGCCAAACAAGGGGGAGCACTTATTCAGTGTGCAAGAGTAGTTGTGCCACTGAAGGTAAAAGTTTGAAGGCTGCCAACAAGAGCATGGATCTTCATCAATCTGAGATTCGGCTGACATATGTGCGTGAAAAGTCGCCTTGTGATGAGGCTGAATGTTTTGATATGGGGAGGACACTTAAAAGGTGCAAAGCTAACCACAGTGAAAAAATGGCAACCTCAAAGTCTGTGAGATTTAGTGAGGAGAATAATGCGTATTATCATAACACCAAAAGAAAGTTGGCTTCAGAAGAAGTGAAAAAATCTGGAGTAGTTCTAGAGAGTTTCAACGAGGGAAATATGGTCAACTCATCAGGAGCAGAGGCTTCTCCTCGTTCATTTGGTGACAGAGACAAGAATTTTTGTGCTTTTTGTCATAGTACAGAATGTTCTGAGGTACCATTACCTTCGGTTTCCAATATTCTGTTACTTTTGTCAATCTTATCTCTTGCTGATAGTTTGTACCCGTGAAATTTAAGGTTTCAGGGGTCATGCTTCATTATCTCAACGGCAAGCCGGTTGCAGGCGATCACATTAAAGGACCAAATGTCATACATTGTCATAAGAATTGCACAGAATGGTATGATAGCATGCGCATTTCATACCAATTGCACGTTCATTTGTCTGTATCTTGCTTGTGTTTAAGGATAACAGTGAGCATGATTAATCAATTTCCTTGGTCCCTCAACTTTGTTTCCACAATGTTGTCTGATCAGTTGTTGAAGGCATTTTCTGAAGCCACAAGGATGATATTTAGTAAAATCCGTGTTTGTGGTAACAATACCGAGTGTTAGTGTATGGTGGAGCATGAATATTCAGCTTGTCCTTTCAGCATTTTTTTTGGGTTCTCAAGCCTATTGACTTGCAGTCTGAGCTAATGCGAGAGCGATGCAGTTACATGTTTGTTTGAAATAAATCTTGAGAAAATGGAACCAATTTTGCTGCAGAGATTATAAGCTTGTAATGGGTACTTTCTTCATGTTAATTTCTGAAAGTATATTTGCAGGGCTCCTAATGTGTTTTTTGAAGAGGATAATGCAATTAATCTAGAAGCAGAACTGAGAAGAAGTCTAAAAATAAAGTGTGGGTTATGTGGAAACAGAGGCGCTGCTCTTGGATGTTTTGAACGGACTTGCCGCAAGAGCTTTCACATTCCTTGTGCAAAAATGACTTCTCAGTTTCGCTGGGATCACGTATGATCAATAACTGAAATTCAAATGAAGCTTTAAAAAATGCATTGCAAATCAACATCCCTTTTATTTTTCTGCAGGAAAACTTTGTGTTGTTATGCCCCCTTCATGCCTCTAGTAAGCTTCCATGTGAAATGCCTGCAAATCATTCTACCCAGAAGAAATTATCCACAAAACGGTCTGTTTATTGCCTTTTAATATTCTCTCACTGTTTTAGTTTTTCTAAAATTCTAGATTCTCTTCTTGCTTAGGACTTATGAGACCCTCATTTTCTTTCTTTTATCAAATTTCTCTGATAGAGATTCGCGCATCAAGAAAGTGCAGACAGCCAAAGATGCAGTTAAGGAAAATCTACAGTGGAAGTCATGCAAAAATGCCAGGGACTACGTTCTGTGCTGTTCAGGTCTGACTAGTATCGAGAAGGTAAATCAAAGAAACTAAATAAATCTCATTTGTTTCATTCAGTGCACCTTGGAGCCTTGTGTATGCTCATTCTTTCAGCATAATATAGTGTATCATATGATTGCAGGAAATTGTTTCCCAGCTGGAAAAGTTTTCTGGGATCACAGTAATAAAGAATTGGGACCCAAGTGTAACCCATGTAGTTGCAGCTACAGATGATAATGGTGCTTGCAAAAGAACCCTCAAATTTTTGATGGGCGTCCTGGAGGGAAAATGGATTTTGAACATTGAATGTGAGTCAGAATCCAAGTCTTCATTGAGATGAAACGCTACCATATATGATCGAAATATGAAATTGATCAGATGATAGGATTATACAGAGCCCATTTTAGTTTCTTCGTGCTTATAGAGTAATAAGTTTTGTGCTGTGCCTTACAGGGGTGGGAGCTTGCATCAAGTCAATGAAACTTGTTGATGAACAACCTTATGAAGTCAAAGTTGACGCTCATGGAATCAAGGATGGCCCTCATATTGGAAGATTAAGATTTTTAAACAAGGTTACACTGTAGTACTTTTGTACTTCTGTTGATATCATTTTTCCAACCCCTAATTCTTAAAATGGTATCTAGAAAGTGACTGTTGTTTACTGGAACCAACATTAAGATTTCATACAACCTGGTGAGTTTGTAAGTTACATGGACTTCTCTAGATTACTTCTTCAGTGCAGGACTTTTCTTGTTGTTTTCGGACTTGTTCGCAGTGCAGAAGTTTTGCCTTAGGTACTTTCTTTAAACCAATGAAATGACCTGAGCGTCAAATCTAACTTGCAGGAACCAAAGCTTTTCAGTGGTTGCAAATTCTACTTCATTGGTGAATTTGAGACTTCTTACAAAGGATTTCTCACTGATCTTGTGATAGCTGCTGGAGGATCTACACTTAAACGGAAGCCAGCACCGAAAGGTCAAGACTTGTTCACGCCCAACAGCTCTACTGTCTTCGTAGTTTATAATGCAGAGCAACCAGAGCAGGAAGAGTCTGGAAGGAGCAAGAGAAGATCATTATTGAAGCATAGCATACCTCCTGATGCAGAGGCCTTAGCTACTTCAAGTGGAGGTGTTGCAGTATCAAATGCATGGCTTTTGAACTCAATTGCTGGCTGCAAAGTTCAAAAAACTCCAGAATAATGACATGGTGAACTATGAAACTTCAAATTTGTACCTTTATATTGGTATCTATCTATACCTACAACTTGATGGAAGTCAGCAGTTCCATGACTTCACATGTTATCTCACAAGAGAATAATATTTATGGGGAATCCTTGCAAAGTTTATAAGTTCAACTCTGAAACTATTTTCTAGTTATCAAGGATTTTAGAGATTCAGGTGCCGAAATCATACTCCCTTTGTCCTGAAAAAGGAATACTAATTGTTACTACATTTTGGTTCAACTATAAGGCGGCTAGGGACAGTATGATAGTTTGACCGTAATTAAATCTGTGTTCTGTATTCTCATCTTTTTAATGCTTACTTGGTTTACTTGCATTGGATGGAAATTAATTTGGGACAATGATGAATGTGAAATTGTGAACAAAAAAGAAACTTCACAAAGAACCACTGGCAAATTGTTTCACAAAGAAAGCATTTACACATACCACCTAACTGTAATTTAAATTACAAACAAAAAACTTCAGTACACTACTAAATAAGCATTCAATGTATTTGCCCCACCTAGGAATAAGGAACTGTGATAATGTCGAAACTTCACAAGTCACACCGATGATTGGTCAACTGACAAGTCCTAGTAACAAGTCTATGAACAAAACAGTACTCGGCAAAGCTAACCACTATGTACGCTGAATCATAAAGTGGACCCTGATCTTGAAACTTGTGATAGTGCATCTTCAAATTGATCATCATCAGTTTTTTCAGCGCTCAGGCTTGGTGGAATGAATGATCTGAACACAACCTCCATGTTGGGAATCTCCTTCAAGTCTTTGCAAGCAACCTCAAGAGCAGTGGACTGAAATGATCGGTAGAATCTTTGCGTGCATACATAGTAAAAGATTGCTGAGAGTACCAGAAGGGGAACTAAAACGGGGGCATAAGGGAACTGCTTGAGTCCAAAGAAACCAAACATCGTAAGTTGATACAATGCCAAGGCAGCCATGATGCGGGTGAACATGTGAGGCCACATCCTCCCATAGCTCTCAAATGACGGAACATAGACTTTTAATACCTGTCCAGCAGAAAAAAGGCATGCCATTTAAAACTTAGGAATAAAACAGTTGCCTCATATAGCTGCAAATTATACATGGACAACAATCCAACAGAATTATTAGATGAGATAATATACCCAACTTTTATTATATAAGAATAATTATACCTGTTCTTATTGATGAAACCACATTTTTCGTTAAGATTAGGGTTCATAGAGAGTGTACCAGGTGAGGTATAGTACCCATAAACAAAATGACATTTTCCACTAACTGGAACATAATTGATACCAGTTCTTATTGATGAAACTGCATTTTATATTATGATTAGGGTTTATACACTCAGTGTACTAGGACGAAAGATCTCCATCACCACACAAGTTTCTCTACTCTTAGACTCAAGTTTCAGGTTCCCACACCAATGACAGCAAGCAAGTAAATAGACTGAAAACCCTCCAAAGTTTTAACAGAACACAAGAAAAGACAAATTCAACACATGAGATAGATTTGATATTTTCCAAGAAACAAAACTGATCTTTCACATCATATGGCATTCTATTGAAGCACAAAGCATGGTTAAGTTTTAGATTTCAAACACAACTTGCATCTGAAACAATTTTCAAAGGATTGAAAAGGAAAACTGGTCACCTGATTGCGAAGGAGGAGCCACCCCAGGCCAAAGTACACCACCCCGAAAGGAATGATAATAGGAGCTATTACAGAATAGCAAAGAACAACAGTTAGAATCAGCATATCACCAGGAAACCGAGTTGCATATCCGAGATCTCCAGGAGCCCAAGCTTCTTTAACTTCTGCTTCAGTCTTACACAAATACTTTCTCTTGAGATGGTAAATTATTAAAGGAACAATTCGGGAGAGCTCAAGCCCATAGCTTACAAAGAACCTGAGATCCAAATAATTTATAAAATATTAAAGGAACAATTCAAGAAAGCTCAAGCCCATAACTTACAAAGAACATAAGATCCCAACAAATTTTCTTTTGGTAAACCTTATCTCTTTGTTCTGGTAAACAAAAGAATTTATAAAACCAATCAGTCAACATCTTCTTATTCGCTGAAACATATCATTTATAGTCAAAATTTGTGGTTTGTTTAGTTTTTAATTGCTTGAAAGGAATTTTCTCTTTTTTAAGGGGGGGAGGAGGTGTTTGGATTCAGAAGGAACTCAAGTAACAATGCAGGGAAATGGAATGGCAAATGAGAACCAAATCAAGTGCCCTAATGGAAACATGAAAAATCAAGTCATTTAACAGTTAAGGGTTTGCTGCGCAATTTTCAACTCCGTCATTCACCAACAGATATTAAAACAATTATCTGTACAATTATGCAACAGAAATACTCAATTCTTGAAAAGCATTCCAAACTCAAATACTAACAGCTCATAATCTACAACTTTCTATGCTCAAGTTTTCAACAAAAGATAATACATTCATGCAAGCTAAATATGCAAAAAACATGATTCTATAATCCATGTCATCAAATGAATGCATCAACAAACAGAAGAAAAGCTGTAACTCAGAAGAATGTCTTAATATACAGCACTCTATACAGTCAAGATATAAAAAACGTAAAGTACTTATGTGATAAAGACGCTTTACAAATATTAAAAGGAATAACAACGTAAGTAAGTAAGATCAACCTTTTACATAAACAAAAAGGAATTCTTACTTTAGTGCCACAAAAGTCAAGAAGAAAGTTGCACTTTTAGGCAGGCTGGTTGCTAACAGAGACACGATGCTGTTTGGTTTCTTCTCAATATCCTTTAGCTTATCAAAGAGGCTGGAACTAATTGTAACACCGATAAAAACATTTAGCACCGAAAAGTAGAAGTATTTCCCAGAGGCAGCTCTTGTTGCATGGCTTTCTGAAGGAATACCCTCGGCCTTCGACAGAAACAAAAGAAACTTAGGCAGTAATGCCAAGAAAACAATAAGAGCAAGCTGAGGCAGGTAGGCCTCTAATACTGTCTTCACAACAGGCTGGTTGACGATAGGTTTTGTGAATGGGAGCAGTTTCTTTAAATTTTCCAGAGTTGTAAATGCAGAAATCAAGCCAATTGGTATCATATAGAAAAATATCGTCAAGAACACAATAATGTAGATGATATTCTGACGGATAACCCTCTCAAAGAACTTTTTAGGAAGATTGTCCCACAGTAGCTGTCGCGGCTCAGGAGCATCTAACACTGTCCATGTATTAACCATTTGAGCATGAAGACTCTGCGCAGCGGAAGCTGCTGTCACCCTATTGGTGAAGAAAACCAATGCTGCAGGTAGCTGTTTTTCTCTGAGAGTGACCTTTTGTTCAGCTTCCAACTTTGGAATTAATTCATTGATCTTCTCACCGTAGTACTCTATTGAATCTACCTTTTTGCCAATGAGACCAAGAAAACCAGTTCTATTAGATGGTCTTGTACCTTCAGGATTGGCACCTTTCTTTGAGTCTGTATATATGGCTTCTGCACGTGCTAGCTTCTTTTTAAAACCTTCCAACTTTTCATATATTTTGTTCACCTAAGGAATTTGGCAAATAAAGCAGCTCAGAACAATAATCAAATGTATCAAATTGTTTTCATAATTTATAACTGGATCTGTTAGTTCAACTTTCTGTAGGTCTTTGTCAGACATAATAAGCGGCCATGAAACGTATCTCCTTCAAACCAAAAGAGAAAAGACGTTCAATTTAAAAATAAGGAGAAAGTATGCAAAAATTTTATCAAGCAAGGGTCCAAGGTATATCATATAGCTAACTTATAAAGATCACTGAACGATGGTACCTTTTTATTGTCAGTGACAATCATGGATCGATAAAATGCCTCAGGATAGATGGATTTAAAATACAAGTCCACTTGCTCCTTCCTACTTAGTCCATCTGGACTCAAAGGAATATCCCTGACAATTATAGCAAACTGCTCAGCTTTCACCTCTGAGGACTCCAATGCCACTTTTCGTAGATCAGAAACATGTTTGTATGCTTTCCACAACAGGATATATGCAATGATGGAAACCCAATATGTAGCCAACACAAATGCCCATAATCTCGTACTGTTTTTCTGAACAGAGATAACATAGAAGCCTGTTTTAAACACTTAATAGAGCAAGAATTAACCAACTAAAGCATGCATAACAGTTTTTTTCATTTGAACTAACTGAAACAAGGACACTGTAATGGAAATAACAGTAGTACTGGGTTACACTAGAAAAACACAATTCAGCTGACCACTGACGTCAGAAGAGGACGACCCTAAACAATATTAGATAAAAGGCATTCTGAACTTACTCCAACATGGCCCAAAGAAAGCTTATCAAGGTCATTGAAAGTCCCTTCACTGGTTTCATCAGCAGCACGCACACTTCGATCTGTTGCAGCCACAGGTAGAAGCACTGGTAACAGCACAAGGCCAGAAAGAACCAATATTCCCAATACTGCAAATGCCAAGAGATAGTGTTTATAAACCAATAGTTCAGAACGATTGAATATTTCATGTAAAAAAGCCTCTCAGTCGATTACAAAAATCTAGCTAACACAGAAAACCTTTACAGCCTCTCAGTCGATTACAAAAATCTAGATTATCCACATACGTTCAATATATCAGTTTCATAAAACACTTCAGCTTGCATCAGTAAACTCACAGCACAGTTTTGGTCATGCAGAATACGACAAAAGATTTAGAGCACCACTCTATTTTTTAAGCAACATACATCATCCGGAAACATTTGATAAGATTGGTTTGATAAAGTACATCAGCTTGCGGTCCAGCACACTCACTGAGCACAATATACTTCTTGGTTAATTTGAAACATCTCAGTAACACAAGAAATGAGCAAGATAACTAGCAATGACAGTTGATTGTACCAGGGAACTATAAGTGAATTTTTGAGAACAGCTGGGTTCGACTAACTTAACCGACACCCAGTAACAAGTTTACTTGAAGGAGATTGGACATCCAAATTCCTTGAACACAAACCAAAAAGGGGGGAAAAAAAAAAGAGAGAGAGAAATGATACTGAGTTTTCCCGTGAAACGGATGCAGGAAAACTCGAGACAGGATGGAGGAATACCCGGGCGCGCCCGGAAAACGGATGCGGGAGATCCCAGGGGATGGATGCGGGAAAACTCGGGATGGGATGGGGGAAAACCCGCTCAGTCTTAAGATGGATGCGGAAAACCTCGGACAGAATCGGATGCCGGGAAACCTCAGGCTTCAGGCTCAACACCCGAAAAAAAAAAAAAAACCTAACTGCCATGGATGAATTTGAGAAAAAAGGGAGTTATTTGTGGAGTTTGAGGGAAAAAGAAGACAAGAAATAGAAAAAATTACAACAAGTGAAACAAATTGCACGAGAATATGAATCCATCAGCAATAACGCTTGACCTGAACATTTAGTGGTATAAGTTTGTCATTGAAGTAATCTCAATACAGGAGGCTGGCTATACATAATACTTTATCAATTAACTGCACAGAATATGGGGAATTGGGTGTACTTAAAAGCTCAACCAACCAGCAATTTCAAATTATCTAAAGAAGATGATTACACTGAGCAATCAAGAGAAAGGCAAGCTGAATTTTTTTGCCTTAACTTTGCTGAAGTTGGTACTGTAGACTTGTTCAAGGTTTTGTCTTCGGCCTCAACTTCACATGTAATTGGAAAGTTAAAAAGTCAACTGGGAATGCAAAAACAGTGTCTTGAATATTCTGAAAGCCGCACAGAAAACTGAACCAAAAATGTATTGTGCAAAACAAGATAACAGAACCAACAGGCTATTGACCTTCAACAAATTTGGTGTGGTTAAGAAAGACATACAGTACAGCTTCTCACTTCTGTTCTATTACATGATTGTCCCCCCAATTTTTTCATCTCCAAAGACATACATATATGATGTTCTTTAATCTTCTCAAAATGGGTATGGGCGACTTTTCTTTAAATGCATGCATCAAAAGGAACACTTGTTGATTGATATTACTTCTGTCTTCATATACTTGGTTTGAAAATTTAGTGTCAACTCAACTTCAATACACAAAGTAAAAGTTCACTCCAAACTTCTTATGTTCCAAATGAAGCCAATAAGTTCAGCGGCAAACATAAATCAAACTCCCACAATTTCTCTCCCTCCTAAACACAAGCTCCAACCGTAATTCCCTCCAAAATGTTTTAGTTCCAAAAACATAAAAAAAAAAAAAAAAGAAAAAAGTAGGAGCTCTACATGTAAGCCACAAGAACCTAAGTGTGAAGTTAGAGCCATTGGAACTCTATATTTGATGTATATATCGATATTCTATCTATGTGACCCTCGGAACTCAGTGTTACTATTTGCCAAAAAGCTTCCTTCCTACCCCTGTATTCCCAAAAAGAGACAACCAAACAAGGCCTTAGTCTTACAAAAACGAAAATTAAAAGCCAGACCACAAAATGAGGAGATAAGATCAACCATAAAAAATACAACACACTCCCTAAATCTCATTATTCCAATAGTTTTTAATGCATAAAGATCTACCAAACAAAAGGCGAAATTCACTATGGAATTTTAAGCTATGCCGGAAATCAAATCGCCAAATCAGAAAAGATTATAAGGCAGAAATTAATTAACCCAACATTTGTCAACCATGGCACACTCTTAAATCTCGAAATCCACCAAAATAGTAACAGATCCTAAAATAGTGGTTCAGGGGGTCTGGTCATCACAAAGAAAATCCGAAACATAACATATTTTCTCATGATTTTTTCCGTCATCTTCTCCAAAGAACACCAACATAACATGAAATCAACTACCGTAACTGAAAACCTTGGAAGAATTACGAATGGTAACAGGGACATTTTGCAACTAAAAACACACCAGAACCAAAACCATCTAAAAAAGAAAGAACAAATCACGGAAAGACAAATGCCAAACGGAGGTCTTTGTATGAGTGAGTGAGTGAGTAATATTACCAGTGCTTATGAAGACAAAGTAGACAGCAGAATCAACACCAGACATTCGAATAACGTCAGCTTCAGAGGAAGAGAGCGCCTCCTTGATCCACGCAAAAGGGTTACGGGATCTCTTGCCACCTTCGAATGGATCAATACCTTTGAGAATCAAATTAGGATAATACACAACACTGTTTGAAGGCTTCCTTGACAGCCAAGTGAACAAGAACATCAACACCACAAATATCACAAACGACGTCCCTAAAGACGTCAAAAACGCCTTAAACTCCATCTGGGCTCCTCAAAGGAAACAAAGAAAACAACAATAAAAATCCAATCTTTCACCCAAATTTCACCACCCCTTTTCGACAATTTTGGTGTTCAATCCGACAATTCTCGCTCTGGGTTTTCTTCAAGGGGGGAGAGAGAGAGTGGGAGTTAAAGTGGCAGTTTCGGGGAGATGGAAAGTAGCCGTTAATAAAAGGCATTGAAAGCGAGTAAAGTACGAGTAAAACACACACAGCAGTTGAGAAACAGGGGAATAGGAAAAGGAAAGGAGTATGACTGTGACCCAATAAATTTGTGGTTATGGAGTTGCTTACATGTCTAAAGATCATTAAAAAAAAGAAATTAATTCTGAATGTAAGAAAGAAACAAAATGAAAAGAAAAAGAAAGAAATTCAACAAAATATCTGCCGACAAGAGAAAGGCATGATGATTGATGATAATTTAAGTGAGGTTTGTCCAATTCTTCAAGTGAGTTGTGTGGGCTGTGGGGACTTTTAGAGAAACTATGGTTTATCCATCTTTCTTTTTTAAAACCCAAAATTAGCACAAATCGTTTAGGATTTTTTACACAAAAATTAAAAAGAGAATTAATGTGTGTTTCATAAAAAGGAAATTTCATTAAACTTGTTAAAAATCAAACAGCAATAAATAGACTAGAAAACTTCATGTCCTAATTATTACATTTGTAGCCTTTGACCTAAACAGGCTAAACATAAGAGATTATTGCATGAGTAATATATCTTATTTAAGTGTAAACTCTGAAGTAAATTACGAAAATGACCTGATTTAATTAATGTGTATGGGTCCTTTACTATGAATTTCTAATTTATCTTGATTTATGATATACAACAATTAAGAACATACTGTATCTTGCTCTTAGTATTTGGAAAATGGTAAAGATATTAAAGCTGTTATTATTAATACCTCATTGCAAATTTGCTATTGTATAATTCGAGATGATAAAAAAAAGTAAAAATCTGAAAATTATTTAGTTTAATAGAGTAAACTGCTCAAATGGTTCTTTACATTTGGCAAAAAACTTATTTTAGTCGTTTACATTAACAATTCACTGGTTTAGTCTTTTACATATGTATTTTTCACTAATTTAGTCATTTTTATTTTTTTGACCCTTTACATTTGCGGGTTCTTTGGTTGACCATTTTTTGGTCAAGTGAACAGGGTATTTTGGGTAACTTATAATTTTTAAATTTTCAAAAATACTGAAAAACCAAAAATCAATTAAAATAATATTAAATATATTATATTAACTTTATAAGTAATTATTAAAAAATAAAAAAGTTCAAAATTCAAAATTAAATTTTTTTCCCAAAATTTGAGTTATTATTCTTTAACCTGTGGGGCCCACGTGTGATTCTTCTTTACATAAGTCTGCAATTTTTTTCCTCTCTCCCCGGTCAAACACCCAACTTAATTTCCAAACTCCCAATCTGATATTTAAGAAGAAATCGGATTAAGGGTAAAGAAGAAAAAAAAATATATATTTAATATTATTTTAATTAACACGGGTATATTCAAGAAGAAAAAAATTACAGACTAAGGGTAAAGAAGAAATCACGCTTGGGTCCCACAAATAAAAAATGACAACTCAGATTTTGGAAAAATAATATTGAATTTTTAATTTTAATTTTTTAAATTTTTAATAAACAATTATAAAGTTAATATAATATATTTAATATTATTTTACTCAATTTTTGGTTTTTAAGAATTTTCAAAAATTTAAAAATTACTACCTCCGTGCCAAAAAATAGTCCACATTGAGTTTTCAAATTTGTACTAAAGTTAGTACAAAACTCAAAACTCTATGTGGACTATTTTTTTGGGACGGAGGGAGTATAAGTTACTGAAAATACCCCTGTTGGCTTGACGAAGAAATGGTCAACCCAATAACCTCCCAAATGTAAAGGGTCAAAAAAAGTAAAAAGGACTAAATTAGTGTAAATACATATGTAAAGGACCAAACCAGTGAATTATTAATGTAAAGGACCAAAATAAATATTTTACTAAATATAAAGATCATTTGAGCAGTTTACTCAGTTTAATAACATGAAAATTGTTTGCCAAAATTAAATAAGATAGTAAAAGATATGGCTCATTGCAAATTATGTGACTAATTTTGATAAATCGTATTCACAGAAAAAAAAAAAAACGAAGGAAAGAAATGCCAGTGAAATTATGGCAAAATGTACAAGGCAAACGGACCATACAATTTACTTTAAAGAATAGAAATTATGCTATCTGGAATAATATTCAACAATATTAAAAAGTTTATTAAATCTTGTGCAAAATGACAAAAAGCCAGATGTACAAAAAATAGAAGGAATCCAAAATCAGGTTTCAAAATCAGAATCAGTTAATCTGATGAATAAGGATATAGTTTGGTGCACGTGGCTTGTCATCAAAGAACGAAAAGAAAATCTCTTTAAAATGAAGTTTTGTCCTTTTTAGGCTTTTGAGCAAATCCCTCTTTTTCCCAATATTTATTTAGTTTTATTTATTAGGGCAACACTCATTTCACAAGACATAATTTAAGATAGGTCATACGATGAAAACAAAGTGTGATGGATGGTGGGCAAGTGGATTAGATAGTTGTGTTGGAGCTTAAATGACAGGATTGACCTCCGACTAATTCATTTTGTAACAAAAAACTATAATTATAAGAGTAAGTTTGCATGAAAAGTTAAAATATTTGAAGAAATTAATTTCATATTTATATTCTTTTTTATGTAAATACTTTTTAACTCATTAAAATAATCTAAGCATGAGACTTTCATATTAATTTTGTTATGAAAACGACCGAAGAAAGAATGGACTTGATTATTACACTGTTAATAATTGTAGTATGAACAAGTAGGAAATATAGTTAGAGCTTTTTTAAGAAATTGGCTTATAGTATAGGATAGAAACAAGAAGATATTTATTACTCGAAGAGTACAGCCTAGCAGGCAGGGTGGACTTTCCATTTTTAAACAATTTCAATCAATTACGTCGGCAAAAAAAGTTATCCATTTTGCAAGTTTAAGAGAATCATGTGTCCTTGCCGACATGGGCGCGACAAATTAAAACAAACAAATGAACAATCTTTTTTCCCTTATGTTTTTCCCCTCTTTTCCCTTTTTCTAGGAGCATTTCCATCAATAAAACAAACATAATACTTCAATTCGCATTCTAATATCCTCTTCTTTTTTAACCTTCTATTCCAACAATTTTATACTCATCACCTATATAGACCTTGCTTGATAAACATATTCTGCACCCTATTTGATAAACATATTCAACACTTAAATTTAATTGATTAAGTATTTAATTGATGAGTAAACTGTTCATCAAATGGTCTTTTACATTTGGCAAAAAACTTATTTTGGTCCTTTACATATACTCCCTCCGTCCCATAATTATTGTCCACTTTGTCCAAAAAATTTTCTCCAAAATTATTGTCCAATTTGACTTTTTATGGATCAAGTTACACATTTGTCCTTAATAAAAAACATTATCCATAAGATCTTAGTGGTTAAACAATTACTTATGTAGGGGTATATCCGGTTGTTTAAGGTAAAATATAGTTAAGTTTGACCAAAAATAAAATCTTTCATTTTAGTAAAACTGGACAATAATTATGGGACAGAGGAAGTATATTTTACACTAATTTAGTCCTTTTTACTTTTTTGACCCTTTACATTTGGGAGTTCTCGGGTTTACCGTTTCTTTTCCAAGTCATGATGATCACTATATTATTATGGTTAAATTTTTAAAAAATTTCTTCCTTTTCCAATTCAGTATTCTCAAATTTCAATAAACACTTCCAATTCAGTATCTGAAATAAATATTATAATATTATATGGAATCGTAGTTTGAATCAAATGTTTGTACTTTACAGATAGGAAGAAAAAAGGGAATAGATAAGTAGTTACTGCTTTTTTATGTGGTTTATTAATTCTTGATCAGAGATCCTTTCCATACTTATAGAAGAATTAATCAGTGCCTTATATAAGGCAATGATAAGTGCTACTCAGAGAATCCATGATCGTTTATCAGCGTTCTTGTTGAGAAACTCATCGGTCCTTTTCAATAAAGTTTGGGTTGGGAAAAAAAACTAAAAGAAAAATAAAATACTTTTTTAATAATTTTTTATACCTTAAGGGGGCTTTGTTCAAATTTATAAACTAATTGGGTATTTCTTAATTAAGTTTGAGAGCTTTTTCATCAATAGGACTAAATCGGCGAATAATTTAGGATGATTTTAACTAGTCTACAATAATTTGGGACTAATTTGACTACTAAATGATAACTTGGGACTAAAAAAGCGGTTTTTCCCAAGAAAATAGACTATGTTGAGCTTTGAAATTTATACTATAAAGAATATAAATTTAAAAACTCAATGTGGCTAATTTTTGTTATGAATCTTGTTGGGACATACGGAAGAGTGAGGACATTTGTAGTTAAAATAAAAGTTCAAATCCGACAATTGTTTTTAAATGGTTGGAGTAGATTTTTAAAAGCCATATTTTATTTTCTTCCCCCTTCTCTTTTTTTTTGTCCCCTAAAAAAATCATACCACAACCAACATTTACCATACGGCCACTGAAAGTCTAATTTGTTTTTAGTAACTGGGACATTTTTTCAATATAGATGATAAATGTGACAAGAGGTAAGCACGGGAAACTTGTCCCTTCTTGTATGATGTCTACTGGGTAGGGGTCACCTGTGACACAATTTTGTGCCACTCCCTATGACACTTCATGAGAGGCTGACACCTGTCCCTATTTTAACTCTCTCCACTTCATCCTTACTGTCAAGTTAACGACCATTAACTAAGTAAATTAATAATTAATTAAATAAAAAAATGTCGCCGATTCCACAGTTTTCACTTCTTCCATGTACGTAAATCTCTTCTCGGCCACTCAAAACCCTAATTTAAAATTCAATTGTGAAGCTTGAAGGTTGAGATCATTTTAATCCACAATCAATGGAGGAAGATAGTTTTCAAGGTTCGGGTGATTTCATAATGCTATGTTGTTAAGTTTTTTCTTTTTACACGGTGATAATCTTGAACTCATATACCATATTTGATGTTCAACAAAAAGAATAATTTGATGACGCAATTTGTATTTTTGTCACTTCAATTGCTTGTAATTAGAACGTGGTGATTGCAATGTTATTTTCTTTCTTTTTTTTTTCTGCCTTTTTTTTTTCTTGATTAAAGCCTGCTTCCTCTTTCCTGTTCTGGTTTTTGTTTTTTGATGAATAAAGTCAGAAGCAAAGTTTCAATGGGGCGCCAGTTCTTTGAGGTTTCATGTACTCTTAGTACGTAAATTGCTAACCGAAAAGCTATCCAATCACCTTTTGTTAATATTAATATATTGAAAGCAATCCAAACATGTTTTATGGCCGCATACTTTTTGTAAATGTGGTTCATGTTCCAATTAAGATTGTTTGCGTTTTAGGATTTTCTTTTCTATTTGTTGTATCTTTAAGTTAAATGATAAATTTAAGTTACTCTTTGCAGGCTCTGATTGTAAAACACTTGAAGATCAGCCCTTTTCTATCGATGTTGATGCTAGTCAGGACAATTATCTTCCTCAACACATGATCCCGGAAGAACTTATTCCGAAAGTTGGCATGGAGTTTGAAAATGAATCTGCGGCTTATGACTTCTACATGAATTATGCTAAAGCACGCGGGTTCAGACCCAGAATGAGTACAGTACATAGAGATAAAAATAAAGTGGTTTTGGACAGGATATTATGTTCCAATCGAGAAGGCAAAAGGGGCACGGATAAGCGCATCGCGACGGTTAAGAACCCTCGAGATGAAACAAGGTGCGAATGTAGTGCTATGATGAAGATCAGTTGCAGACATGGTGGAAAGTATCGTATTGTAAAATTTGTTCCTGATCATAATCATGAGCTGTCTAGCCCAAGCAAAAGTTATATGTTCAGTTGTTTTCGAAAAATAACCGTTGCTCAAAAAGTTGAAGTGGATATTGCCAAAAGCTGTGGGGTAGCACCAAAACAAATAACAGAGATAATGGCAAAAAAGAGTGGTGCACGAGAAAATCTTGGTTTCATTCACAATGATTTGAAAAATTATTTACGAACTAAGAGAACAATAGCAATGAAGCAGGGAGATACTGGAGGTGTCCTAGAATACTTGCAAAGATCACAGTTGGAAGATCCAAACTTTTATTGTGCAATTTAAGTGGATGTAGATGATCTCATCACAAATATATTCTGGGCTGATGCAAAAATGAGGACATATTTTGCAAAATTTAGTGATGTCGTGTCATTTGATACCACCTACAAAAAGCACCGAGATGGTAGACCTATTGGAATATTCATCGGTGTAAATCATCATAAGCAAACTTCAATTTTTGGAGCAGCATTATTGTACAATGAAACAACATAAACATTTGAATGGTTGTTTGATGCTTTTTCAAGAGCTATGATGGGTAAGAAGCCTCGAACAATTTTAACCGATCAAGATCAAGCGATGTCAACAACATTGGCTACTCAGTGGCCACCAAGTTACCATCGTTTGTGCATATGGCACATTTACCAAAATGCTGCAACCCATCTTTCTGATGTCTTTGCAAAGTTCAAAAAAACTTTTGCATATGATTTTAGCAAGTGTGTATATGACTTTAAAGAAGTGGATGATTTCTTTGATGCTTGGAACCAGATGTTGGAAAAATATGACTTGTAAGACAATGATTGGTTAAAAAAATTGTTTGAGAAGAAAGAAAAGTGGGCATTGGTGTATGGCAGGGAAACTTTTGTTGCAGATATCATGACAACTCAACATAGTGAGAGCATGAATGCTGTTGTGAAGAAATATGTGAGTTATAAACATGATTTGGCTGAGTTTTTTCATCACTTTCAAAGATTGCTAGATGATCAGCGAAATGAAGAATCAACCGAAGATTTTAGATGTGGCCAAAGTACTCCCGCAATGACATTTCCTTTAGCAATTTTGAAGCATGCATATGAGGTATACACGCATAAGGTTTTTGCTCTATTTAATGAGGAGCTGCGGAAAGGAATTGAAAGCAAAATTGAGAGTGAGAGTCAAGCAGGAAGCCAAAGAATCTATAAGATTAAGCTATGTCAAAGGCGAACTGAACATGCTGTCACTTATGATTTGTCTGATGATTCTGTAAGTTGCAGCTGCAAAAAGTTTGAATTTGCTGGTATTCTATGCGCACATTCCTTAAAAGTGTTAATGACTTTGAATGTTATGAGGATTCCTGAGCAATACATTTTGAAGCGTTGGACAAAGTCAGCCAAGAGTGGAATGTCACGAGTATGCGGGGGAGTTGGTAACGTAGATGACAAAAAAGGATAAGCTCGCGGTACAAAGAGCTATCGTATTTGTTCATGGAGTTGGTGACAAAATCTGCAGAAAGTGAAGGGGGATATGCATATGCTAAGAATTGTTTCTTAGAGATGGGAGAAAAGATTGATACATGTGTGGGAAAGGGGAAACAAGTTGAAGAAGCTAATCGGCTAATGCCCATAGTTAAGGATGTAGCTGAAAGTATGAGTACGGCTCCAAGTGAAATTGAGGTTGAAATTGATGAAAACAAAATAAAAGGATTGAAACCATAAGCAAGAATTACGTACCAAACTAGTAAGAGACCAAAGAATGCATTGGAGCATGCTGCGACAAAGCGCAGAAGCAAGGCAAAGAAAAAGGATACAGTCGTGGAAACACTACAGGTTAGTTGAAAATTTTGATTAATAATTCATATTTTTATTTTTTTTAAAAGGATTTCAGTGGCAGCCTTTAAAACATGAATTTTTTGCAATATATAAGAGCTGATTGATCATTAGTCTAAAGTTACAATTGATCGTGAAAACATTAAGAATTACGTACCACTCAATTAACAAATTCATAATTATTATATCTTTCTTATTTGATTAATCGCCATTATTGCTACTTCAGGATGACAAGTTTGAGAATAATAATAAGCGAATTGAGGTTCCTTCACCGGTCCTAAATTGGTCTTCCCAACCTCTTAAGGTAAGTTGAATCAGATATTAGTTTTAGTGTTTATACTAATGTTTGCTTATTTTATTGATAAAAATGTTGTACTTTGTAGAGTTTTGAACCAAATGAACTCCACTTTCCCGAAGTTATGTTATGTGATTCAAGCAAAGGAGCTTCTCATTTACAACATTTTCCACAAGTCATGTTTGGTCATTTAAGCCAAGAGTATCAACATGATCATCATGTTTCTCCAGCTTTGTCGAGTTATGGAAGAGGGAAACAACCACAATTCAATTATCCAAGTGTTAACGAGGTACGTACATGGATAGATTTATTTCAACAATTTAGTTATTGTTTGTTAAATTGAGAAATTTGACATTTCTTGATCTCAAACATTTCTTGATGATGAATGAATTTGAGTTGAGTAGTTGGATACAAGCCAATGTGACCCAAGCCAACTTAACAAAGACTTCCAAGATGATAGCTGGTCACGCCAACTTGACAAAGATCACTACATGGAAGATTTGGATCCCGACTACATAGCTCCAAGCGAAAGCGAAGAAGACTATGATGTCTCTGCAGAGAGTGATTTTGAAGAAAGTGATGATAAATTATTGGAAAATGAGGAAAGGGATCTTAATCCATTGCCCCGACGCCATGTATATAGTAAGATGGAAAAATGGGATGCCTCGTGTGTGGACAAAGATGAGTTTGCTCTTAAGATGTGGGATGAGACGCCCGAAGGAATGGACATTGGTATTTGTTTCAAATCCCAATCAGAAGCAAAGCATGCTGTGAAATTATGAAACATCTATCATAAAAGAGAATATACGGTCACCGCGAGTAGTCCAAAGACGTGGGCTGTGCGGTGCAGACATTAAATGTGGAAATTGAGGATGGTGAACCACCATGTGAGTGGAAGATGCGTGTGTCTTTGAAAGATCACGGTTGTGAGATGGCATGATGCACATAATTGCATGACTCCCGTGAATGATAATGACAATCGGTGTGTGGACACGTCTTTGATTGCTAGACTCATCAGGAGAAAGGTTGAGGACAACGTAGATTATACAGTGGCCTCGGTACAGAAAGATGTGAAAACCTTATTGAAAGTAGATGTACCATGCAAAAGGGCGTGGCACGGGAGGAGGAAAGCCATAGAAGCGGTCTATGGTGATTGGACCTCGAATTTCGAAGAACTTCCTAGGTAAATATCAACTTTTATCCATATTGTTATGTGCATTATTTTTAGTTTTTTTTTTGTTAAATGTATTAAAATATTTTAACTATGACTGGTTTGTTGTGTAGGTATATCGCGGCGCTTGAGTTTACTAATCCTGAGACTGTAGTAGAGTGGGAATGGAAGGAGGAACAAGAAGGTTGGAACAGGGGAAATAGGACATTTAAATACGTCTTCTGGTCATTTGCACCAGTGGCTGCAACGTTTCTTGAATGTCCACCGGTCATTTGTATCGATGGAACCTTCTTGCGTGGTGGATACAAGGGTAAATTGCTTGTTGCGATGGTCTATACCGCAAACAAGCACATATTACCGGTTACATTTACGATTGTGGATGAGGAGACAGTAAATAGTTGGACATTTTTATGAGGAATTTGAGATTGTGGGTTGTGCGGGATAGAATCGTAAGTGTGATATCCGACCGGAATGCAGGGTTGTTGAGCGTAATGTCACAGATGGATGAATGGCGTGATTTAGGAAATGGTTGCCACTTTCTTTGCCTCCGCCACGTTCACAACAATCTTGTGTCGTGATATAATAGAAGAAAGGTGAAGCGGTTATGTTGGAAGATGGGCACGACGCATTCAAGAGTGAAATACAACCGTATGAGGGCAGAGCTTATTGTATTCAAACCTGCTGCATGGGAGTATTTTCGAGGGATTGGAGGGAGTAACTGGGCTCGATTGAAAGCCGGTCTTCGCCGTTGGGGCATAGCGACAACCAACATTTCTGAGAGTTACAACAATGTGTTGAAAGGGATCCGGTTTTTACTAATTAGAGCCTTGATCGATGCAACCTTTCGCAAAACTGTGAAATTTTACAGAGAAGAACAATTGTGTGCGAGAAATTGTATGACACCGATCCCTCCTGAGTTATGAAAAAAATATGAGGAAATGAATGACAAAGCAGCCAGTTTTGATGCCACCTCTTTTGATGCTGATGATGCTAGGTGGCGAGTTGTTACTGCTACACGGCTAAGTGGCAGGGGTGGGTCTTTGCATACGGTAAACTACGATGAACATAGGTGTTCGTGCAGGAAATGACAAGAGTACCGAATGCCTTGTACGCACGCACTCCAAGTTTACCGGAAAAAAAGGGATCGGCCTATTGATCTATACCATAGTGGGTGGCGTCTTCCAGCATGGTGCAGACAATTTGAATACACGGGTTTTGTTTCAATTGGAATATCATTCCAAATTATGAGCATCTTGTTTTGAATGCTGGACCGGGAGTGCGACAAAAAAGGAGACATAGAATGCAAATGGATTACAGGGGACGCCGTAGCCGGGGGGAATGTTGGAGATGCGGACAACAAGGTCACGATCCTAATTCTTGTCCTTACTCGCACCCAGGAATAGGTAAAAGGCCTGTGACTGACAACTGGAATTGAGAGACATTTAGTGTTCTTGCAAGTTATTTGGAGTGACCATGTTATTTGGAATGACAACTATGTAATTAAATGTCCTCTAAATATTTTTATTGATAAATTCAGATTGTAATGTTAACATTGAATTGTTCGGATTGTAATGTTAACATTGAATTGTTGGTGCTGTGATTGCGATGAAATAGATACTAGTTGTTGATAACAGGTTTTGAGATTGTGAAAAAAAAAAAAGACATTTTAAGGTTTTGTATAGTGTTCGGATTTCTGAAAGCCGAACTTATCCCTTTTGTATAACGCCCAGATTTCAGAAATCCGGAACAGGGGCGATATCCTGCAGTAAAGTACATGGATTTCTGAAATCCGAGTTCTCACAATTTGTACTACGTTCGGATTTTGGATTTCTGAATTGAGGAATTCCATCCGAAAGTGTGTAATTTGTGGAGAAACAGAGGAAATTCGGAATTTGGTAACCCAAATCACATGAATTCGGATTTAGGAAATCCTACCCACTGTCCTGTGATGACCTTTGACTTGTTCAACCGCTACCCACCGTCCGGCGACTCAATCCACCACCCAAATCGGCGACTCCTCCGTCCGACGACCCACCCCCTCACTCTGGTGGTCTGAAATCCACGTCCGGCGACCCACCACCCAAATCCACTCCCGGTGACTCCCTTCACTGAGGCTACAAAGCAAGGTCCTCCTCCACTCCCGGCGACTCTTCTTTTCCTTTTCTGCCCTGTTTCTTTTGGAGTTTTCTTTCCTTTACACCTTTCATGCTTCCCTTTCTTTCCTCTTCATTTCTACCCCTGCTTACTTAAACCCATCAAGTAGAAATGTTACCTTTGTTTTTTGTCCCCCCTATTTGGTTGCTTCTTTGAAACATGTGATGCTGCTTCTTTGTTCTTTTCTGAAATTGGTGGTGGCTTGTTGACCCTTTTTCGTTTTCCTGAACTTTGTACACTAGTACATAAAAAATTACATATAACATGATGCATATGGATTGGGTGAGCAGACAGAACCTGCCCTGCTACTACTTTTCCCTTCTATCCTCTAACCTTTTGATCTTGATCATGACTGATCTTTTGTACTTTGTTGCTCTCATGTTTAACTCAATAAATATGTGCAGCTAAACTCAGCTAAGGGTTTAATCTCTACTATCTATATGTGAAGGTTTTGATTCAGTTTCTTTTATGAGGCATTGTTTCTAGTTAAGTGTTTAAATTAACCTTTTAATTAAACTGGACATTTAATTGATTGTGCATGCATAGTTATGGAGATCTGAGAGGGGGAATATAACTTTAGAACTGCTTAAACTAGTCTATGACAAAGGAGGAAATTTACCCTTTGGTTTCAATCATCAACGAGAGTTAGGTGCATTGGCATAGGTGATCAATGAGGCTTAAGAATTCAATGGCTCAGATTAATGAATTACTCTGACTGAGAGGTAGGTAATTTAGGTAATCTGAGACTCTTTTATTTTGTCTAAGAGGAATTGTAAAGAATATAAGTGCCTGATCCACAATAAATCATATGCAACAAGAACTGAAATGGATCAAAACTGAATCATATAGATAGGAAGGTGATTAGTCCTTCTGCTCCTTCACTCTGTCAAGTGACTATTCTTACTCTCCAAAGTGACAAATATGTTCAGCTTTGTGATGAGGGACGGATAGTCCTTCTGCTCCTTCACTCTATCAAGTGACTATTCTCACTCTCCAAAGTGACAAATATGTTCAGCTTTGTGATGAGAGACGGAAAAACAATAATAGACTAGGGTTTTAATATTTTTGTCTAAGGATATATTCATAATTTTAATTTAGTTGATTAGGGTTATTTCTTTTATTTTCTATTTAATGCTTTAGCCATCATTGTAAACATCAGTTGTATATTTTATAAAAGTTAAGAGTTCATCTCTTTTGCCAATTATCCTGGTCTATGTGTTGGTGGGATTTTTGATGCCTTACACAACGGGTATTCGTGCGTCGAAACAATGGTGTTTAGGGTGGTTGTATTTCTGGGTATTCGCAGAATCAACGAATCTACGATATTTACCGATATTACTTTTAGGGTTAAACCCCTAAAAGGACATAATTATGTTAACATCTACCAATTACCGATATTGATATTGATATTCTACTTGTTTTCAACTCTTTCAACCCTTGGAGATTATTGATCAGAAACATGTCCATATACACCATAACAAAATTGTGTAATAGAAAGGAAGCATAGACATTTATTATAAGTAGCCGGATCCCTGCTTCTACAATCAAATCTGCCAAAACAATTTTAGGGAATCCTTACTGCTTTCTTGATCAATAGACTTCTTACTCGTCTCTTGGGATGGAAGAGTCCTTATCAAATTCTTCATAATAAACTCTTAGATTTGACTTTACTAAAAAATTTTGACTGTCAAGCTTTTGTCCTTAATAAAGGACCATCCAGGGATAAATTTGATTCTAGGTCTTATCAAGGAATCTTTATTGGATATCCACACGATCAAAAAGGATATAGAGTTTTCTGTCCAGAATTAGATAGGATTTTAGTATCCAAGGATGTGATATTTCATGAGACTGTTTTTTCATCTGTTTCATCACATGCTTCAATCATTTTACCAAATTGCATTATGCAATCTACTTCTTCTTCTCTTTTTGATGATTCATATATTCATTCACATTCTTCCAGTACCTCCAATCACTCTCCTT